GGCCTGATGGTTCCTGTGGTGGGCCTGGGAGCGGCCAGAGCAGGGTTGTACTGGGCTCCTCCATCTTCTCTGGCTCCCTGTGGTCCCTCAGCATGCAACTGGGGGAGTGTTCATCACATAACCCAACACGCTTCTGCACTTCAGTGACACGGAGAATATCCACAGGTTAAAGTTTTCTACCACATATATTTCATGATGGTTGTAAATGCTGTAGCTGATAAATGGATGGAGTTTAATGTGTAATGACTGTCCACTACAGTAACTGTCTCAGTCTAGCTGCTGCCAGGGACAAGGATATTGTCTGAAGTGTTGTTCATCATCTATAGGTAACTATTCTGATTGTGTAAGATACAGTGTAATTTTAAAGGACTTTAAAGAGTTTTCTGATCAGTCAAAGTCATGCCATCTGAGAGACAGGCACGTGTCACTGTTCTTTTTCACAAGTAGAAAAGCTGAGAAAAGGTGATATTAAATTATCAGAGTAGAGCAGAAATCTGAACTTTCGGACCAATTTTTCAACCAGTGTGGAAAGCAGGGAGCATGATTTAAAATTTTTCTTCTAGGTTCCCACACACAAAAGCCAGTGCCTTTGATCTAACTTGATACTGAAATGTTAGAACAGTCTAGCAGAGAACACCCCAAAAAGCAGGTTTTAGCAAATTTTAGTTCAGTAGGTGAACAAGAGCAATGTTCATTAATCCGTAATACTCCAGAAATCTATGAGGGAAGTCTGACAACCTGCTGAAAAGTAGTCATACTGACATACATTGTTTTTCTTACATGTTTTGCAGGTCATTGCAAGTGTGTTAAGGAACTTGTCCTGGCGAGCAGATGTAAACAGCAAAAAGACTCTGAGAGAAGTTGGAAGCGTGAAAGCATTGATGGAATGTGCTTTAGAAGTTAAGAAGGTATCCTGTATAAATGATTGAGATAATTTTTGAGAGATTGTGTTTATTTTACACAAACCGCAAATGCGGTCCTTTTTTGTAAACGCAGTTGGTCACTTATATGGGCTGGTTTAGGTAACTTGCTTTGAAGAAAGAGGGTTGCTTTGACTTAACATAGCAGCAAACCACCATGTAGCATGACATTCTAAAACTACTCGTAGTTCTCTAGTTTTATTTATGAGAGTTGACAGCTTTTGCTCTTCACTTTCATGAGCTTTGCTGTTCAAATAGACTTTTTTATAATTTTACAATTTAATAAAACCTCTTTTGAGTTAATGAATAGGTAACTACCACTTCTGTGATCTTCTAGATATATTTTTGGCATCCAGACAGGATTATATTCAATTCCAGAGTCTCCCGACACCTAGTCTTCAAGCCATTTTTACCATTATGGCAGCTACCATGTATTGTGTCACAGATTTCTGAAAACTCTAAGCAAGAAATACCAAATCCATAGCTGAAGGAAGGAGAGAAGCAAACAGAAGTATTTATGTGTGCACTGCTGTCTGCACACATAAATTATCAGCCCAGAAAGCAGAAATTGGAACACACGGAACACCTTGGAGCTAACTTACGTACTTCTGAGAGCTTGCGATCAATAGCTGAAAACTTCTCTAATTCTGCCATTTTGTTACTGTCCTAGGAATCCACCCTAAAAAGTGTTCTGAGTGCCTTATGGAATTTGTCAGCACACTGTACTGGGAACAAAGCTGACATATGTGCTGTTGATGGTGCTCTTGCATTTCTAGTTGGCACACTGACATACCGGAGCCAAACAAACACGTTAGCTATCATAGAAAGCGGAGGAGGAATATTAAGAAATGTTTCTAGCTTAATTGCTACTAATGAGGACCATAGGTGGGTATGCTTTTTTTTTCCCTGAAAATCTTCAGCAGTTCCACATGCATATTTAGTAGACAGTTTCTAAGACTTGAGTCTTATTATGAATGCATGTATTAAGTGTTGTAATTAGGTACAGATAATTTTAAATGCATTTGATAAGGCAAGTATTTATTTCATTTACATAACAGGAATACGCAGACATATTAATACCTGCTGCTTGTTGATGAGGAACTGTACTAAAAGCTAACTATTCATGTTTGTAATAGGACTTAATTAGCGTTCAGATGAAAGCTAGAGGAAATAAAAGTTTGCACTGGAGAATTCGTGATTATCCTTTATAAGGGCAAAACTTGCCTCTAGTGTATAGGTTTTTGTTTTGCGTTCTCTCTTACCCTTTTGAAATGCTGCTTACTGACATTTGTTTCCAATTACTCAACACCAGGCAAATCCTGCGAGAGAACAGCTGCTTACAAACATTGTTACAACATTTGAAGTCACACAGTTTGACAATAGTCAGTAATGCATGTGGGACCCTGTGGAATCTTTCTGCACGAAATGCGAAGGATCAGGAGGCACTGTGGGACATGGGAGCCGTGAGCATGCTGAAAAATCTCATTCACTCCAAGCACAAAATGATAGCCATGGGTAGCGCTGCAGCTTTAAGAAACCTCATGGCAAACAGGCCAGCAAAATATAAAGATGCCAACATTATGTCTCCGGGATCAAGCTTACCGTCTCTTCATGTCAGAAAACAAAAGGCACTGGAAGCAGAATTAGATGCTCAGCATTTATCAGAGACTTTTGACAACATTGATAATTTAAGCCCGAAAGCATCTCACCGTAATAAGCAGAGACATAAGCAAAATGTATACAGTGAGTATGTCTTGGACTCGAGTCGGCATGATGATGGTGTATGCAGATCAGAGAGTTTTAATGCTGGTAATGTGACTGTACTTTCACCATATTTAAATACTACAGTATTGCCTGGCTCCTCCTCTTCCAGTAGAGGAAACATAGAAAATTCTCGATCTGAGAAAGACAGAAGTCTTGACAGAGAACGAGCAGTAGGCTTAAATACCTATCATCCAGCTCCTGAGAATGCTGGGAGTTCCTCTAAGAGAAAGGGAATGCAGATTTCTACTGCTGCAGCTCAGATCACCAAAGTTATGGAAGAAGTAACAACAAGCATGCATATTCCACAAGAAGACAAAAGTTCAGGTTCCACTTCTGAAATGCACTGTTTGACAGAAGATAGAAATGCCCCAAGGAGATCAGCTACGGCCCACAGTCACTCAAATACATACTTCCCTATATCTGAGAATTCAAATAGGACATGTCCTGTGCCTTATACTAAAATGGAATACAAGAGAGCTTCAAATGATAGTTTAAATAGTGTCAGCAGTAGTGATGGCTATGGTAAAAGAGGCCAAATGAAACCTTCTGTTGAATCTTACTCTGAAGATGATGAAAGTAAATTTTGTAGTTATGGTAAATATCCAGCTGACCTGGCACATAAGATTCATAGTGCAAATCATATGGATGACAACGATGGAGAGCTAGATACTCCTATTAATTATAGTCTTAAATACTCAGATGAACAGTTGAATTCTGGAAGGCAGAGTCCCTCTCAGAATGAAAGATGGGCAAGGCCTAAGCATATAGTAGATGATGAAATGAAGCAAAATGAACAAAGGCAGTCGAGGAGCCAAAATGCAACCTACCCTGTGTACGCTGAAAGTGGAGATGATAAACACATGAAGTATCAGTCACCTTTTGCACAGCAAGAGTGCGTTTCTTCCTTTAGATCAAGAGGATCCAGCGGTTCA